GATAGACACTGGGAAGAGGTAACTATGGGGAGGAAGTGGGAGGGGAGCTGTTGCATTGTAAATTTTGGTCAATGACATGAGACAAAGTATATTATGTGAACTGCTGTATGAAAAGTGAATTTACTCTGTAAAGCTTCACCCAAATCAAAATAAAATTAAAAAAAAAAAATTCTGTCTTGTTTACTTTGGACATGTCATCATGCTGGAGAAGGGCATCAAGCTTACTAAAGCAGAAGGTCAATGAAAAAGAGGAAGATCCTCAATAAAAGGGATTGACACAGTGGTTTCAACAATGGGCTCAAACATAGCAATCACTGTGAAGATAGACAGGCCAGGCCAGCACTTTGTTCTGTTATGCATAAGGTCGCTATGAGTCAGAACCAACATGATAGCACCTAACAACAATAAGAACAATCCAATTATTATTAGAAATGAGTATAGTTCTTTTTCATAGAAAATTAACAAATTTGTCTAAGACCAGGGAAACTTGTCCATTATGTACAATTTCTACATATACATAGATGTCTATTGGTAAATCATGAAGAAAATAATTTATGTCTAAACTGAAGTAAGTCATTTCCTGTGGAACACCCAAAATGTTATCCCATTGCAGTGTAGTAGATTACTTTGTGTAGCTTTTCTACCCATAGATCTTTGTAAACTCCAAGGTGGGATTTGCTATGAGCAACTGAGGAGCTCCTGACTGCTGAAGGTGTCCACCTGGAGTATTTCTGTTGGGCACGGCACAAAACAATGTTCTGGGAGGTGCCCACTCTCTCTCAGGTGCTTAGAGTTCTGATGCTATGATTGGCTAGTTTGACCACCCTGCAGGCTCAAAAGGAGGCCTCCTAGAGGCAGAACTCTCTCTCTGACTGCTGGTGGAGGAAGACATGCTGCTGAAAGAGACATGGGCTCCTGAGACACACGTTGCTGGGAAAGAGATGCAAGAGACACGCATTGCTGAGTGAGACACCGAGGGACCAGCATTGCTGAGAAAGACTGTGAGAGATTGCTGGCTGAGGGCCAGTGGGCTGGGAGAGAGACTGAGCATTTTTCCTGAACCTGAATTGTAGCCTGTGGTGCTTCCCTAATAAACCCCATAATCTGTGAGCTCTGTGTGGCCACTGCAGCGAATTATCGAACCCAGGAGAGAAGTGCTGGGTGCTTTGGGAGGAACGGTTGGAGAAAGGGCTGGAGGGAGGCAGCATGTCTGGCCTTGTAGGAATAGGCCTTGGGTTACTGCTGGTAGGTTGCTCTTGTAGGGTTAGAGGAGGTCAGAACATGTGGCCTCCTTACCCTTTTTGTAGTTGGTGTCAGAAGTGGGATTCTTTGCAGTGGCTCCAGACTCATAGAAGCACCAGACTTTGTAAAAGAAAGAAGGAAGGGGCCTGGGAAGTGAAACTTTGGATTCTTAAATGGTTACTTTCTTTGGTGTTACCTCTTAAAGTAGGTAATTGATCCAGAAGCTAGGGCTTTTGGTTACACCCAGCCCAAGGCCCAAGGCCATATACATAGAATGGGACGGTAATCAAGGTGAAGAGATGAACCTGGAATGTCTTTAAAAGGATTATGTGTTTATATGAATGTACTATGGCTATTGAATGTTCTCTTACCTGCGTGTACATTAGAAACGATTATGGGATACGTGGGTAACAGGGAGCATGTAAGTCTGCCTTCAGCCAATACATGATTGGATATGTTAAAAAGGGGAAATAGAATTTGCCCAGCAGAAACACAGGCTTTTGTTTTAAGCCCTGTGTGTAGAGCCCATACTAGGAGCTTAGGTAGAAAACCTGAGCCCCACCCAGTACTACTGAGGGAAAGGAAGATTTGCATTTGAAGAGAGGACCTGAAGAGAAAAAAATGACTGTTTGGCTTTTTGAATTTTGAGCAAGCAGATAAGCTTTGGGTCCATCAAGGCAGGAAAGTCATGGTCCTTGAGAGATACCCCTTCCAGGACTGAAAGTTAAAGGAAGCCAGTGAGTAGTAGACTTGTATGTTACTTGCTTGTGACCACCTGGATCCACCTGAGTGGAAATGGGGGAAGTGCAGCAAAGAAGAAACGGGCTGAGTTTGGTACTCTTTGACCTAGGCCCAAAGGCTGGGGATGAGAGGAAAGGCTGGCTGGTCTGAAGTGCAATGAGTTGTGAGCCTACGGGCATTGAAACAGTCCCTGAGGACTGAAGATGTGAGAGAAGGTGCTGGCTGGTTTGAAGTGAAGGGAAGAGTGTGACTCCCAGACTTGGCAACTGGTACCCATGACCTAGCTGGGATGGCTAGGGCTGAGCTGACCAGAACCCAACCAAACGAAGAGGAAGACGTTTGACACTGAGCTGGTGTTAAGCTGCTGCAATTTGACAGCTTGTGCTGGGCTGGACTTTGCCTGTTTATGGATCCAGATGCCTGAAGTTTCCAAGCAGAACAGAAGATTCTCCAGAGAGAAAGGACCATGCTTCCTCAGAGTACTGGTTTGATAGGGATGGGCAAATTAGAAATTGGCTATTTCAAATGGGGAGAGATAAAGGCATGAAGTGGCTGGCTTACACACTTTCATGGGTGTGGTTATTCTTAACCTGATGGTGAAGGGAATGTGAATTTTTGAAGTATAAAAGGGATAATGACTAGAAAAGCCAGGGGGTGGCCTGCAGTGTAGTAGATTACTCCTTGCCCTTTTTGCACCCATCAATCAAAACCCCACACCATAGCAACTCAGTACGTTTGCCTTAAAATCCTCATAGGAAAAACATACTTAGTTCCTCCATGGGTTTCCAATAATTTCCTGTATTTGCAGTTCCCCTTCAGTGAACTCATAGTGGTGGTATGGAATATTTTAATTCTATGGAAACAACAGTGATATTGGAGATCTGGTGTATACCACACAAACTACTAACTCAAGGTAATTAAGTTTCAACAATGTTGTCCTATTCTTGCAAAGTTGATTTTTAGCAGTTGCTGTAATAAAAAGCAATAAATTAGAGTGGTTGTGTCTAATCCCATTTCAAGGCTGAATACAATGCCCAAGAGGTGGACATATCTCACAGTATGTTACTGTGATTATTTAAGAACAAAATAAAATATTTTCTTTTAATAAACAAAAGCCAGGAAAAAAAAACACTAATGGTGTTGTGTTGTTAAGTCAAAGCAAAGGTACTAATAAATTAGTAGTTGTTTGGAAAAATAATACACATAAATACTTATTTTGATCTAACAACTTAATAAATAAAACTGTTAAGGTTTTTTTTGGCCTAGGCATGTCAAGGAAAAAGTCAATGAAACACTAAAGGCATGATGAACTCAGAGAAATTAGAAACCTTTGTCCTAGATGTAATTCATGACCCCAAACAAACAACTGTCCATATAGTTTTATTCACCAAATATTTATTAAATTTTAAGTGTACATTATCTATCTGATCAATTAACTCACTTATCCAAACTAGAGGCTCAGGCATGAAAAGCTCCTTATTTCAGTGATGGGAAATTTGGCATTGATTAGGGTAATTGGATGCATATCATGATTAATCTGACTGATATCACTGAAGGTTTACAACTGAAAAAATACTGAATTGGCAAATGTTATAGTATATATATATATTTACAACAATTTAAAAAGAAAAATAATTCACAATAAGAAAAGTGCTGTTGTTGTTGTTATGTGCCGTCAAGTCGGACTTGACTCATGGCGACCCCTCCTTGAGTTTCCGAGGCAGTATCACTACGGAAGTAGATTGCCCAATCGTCCTTCAAAGGAGTGGCTGGTGGGTTTGAACTGCCAGCCTTCTGTTTAGCAGTCAAGTGCCTGAGGCACTATGCTACCAGAGCTCCTAAGAAAAGCACTATATTTCATTAATAGATTAACTAACACTGACATTTCTTATGTCATTACAGAATCAACCAGCCAATGCATAAGTAAAAATCTCAAAAAATAAAGTTTTTTATAATTTCCACATAATACCTGAGTGAGAGCTCTCAAGAGTGGTGTCTGACTTGGAATCTGGAAAGTGAGGAATATTTTCCAATTGTGGAACATAGTACATCTTTGAACTTCCAGAAGGCTTATATGGCAACAATGAAGGATGCGCTATGGAGATAAAGATCAAAACAATGAAAAACATTTATTAATTCAGTGAAAAAATACTCAGTGTTTTCTATGTGCCCTGAGATGTATCATTAAATCAAACAGAACAGTGTCTCTGCTTTCAAGAGGAAACAGCATTCTAGTGGAGGGTGAAACAGAGTAAACAACATAATAAGTAAATTATCTAATATTTTAATAATTTATAAGAGTTTTGTAAAAAACAAACAAACAAACAAAAAACCAATTAGAAAACGCTAAGCAAGATTCCAAGTATGGGGGAAACTGGAGAAAGATGCAGTTTTCAACAGGGTAGTCAGGGTAGGTTTCATTGAGAAGATGAGTTTTTAAGAATTCATTCTAAAGTAGATGACTTTAACTGAAAAAGACTTTATCTCTAATGAAACCCAAACCTGGTCATTGTTAACTACTACAATTGGTTATAGTCTTAATTCTGTTCTCAAAGTCATAAAAATAAGTCTAATTCTCTTTTGTGTGCTGGATCTTTAAAACAAAATTTCCATTATAAAAGTAAGAAATTCTAAATATTAAAAAATATGTAAAAGTAAAAAAGACAAAAGTTCTACCATTCAAAGGTAACAATTATTAACATTTAATGCAATCTAGTTTTTTTTTTGTTTCTTATTTGTTTACATAGCTGTCTGCATATAATATGTATAATAGGGAATTCAGCTTTTCTGCTTTATATTTAGAATAGTCATTTTATTTCCTATTCTTAACATTTTTCATATAGCTATATCACCGATTTAACTAAATGTACTTAACCTTTGTCCCAATGGTGAAAATTTATGTTGAGTTTAGATTTTCAATTATAAAGAATTCTGTAAATAAAGATTTTCCTGTTTAGAGCATACTCACTTTTCCCCTGCCACCCTATCTCAAGTAAATTATCTGATTACAGAGTGAAAAATTATACAATTTATAAAGTTTTTTTTTAATGCTAACTGCTAAACTGCTTTCTAAATTGCCTTTTCCAATTTATCCTTCCTCCAACAGTATAATTATGGTTGTAAAAAAAAAATCCTTGTTAATGTTGATAAACAGAATCTCACTGTTTAATTTTACACTTACTATAGAGGTTGAATCTTTTCCTGTATACTTGTTAATCATGTATGTTGCTCTTTTTTGTAAATCATCTGTTTGTCCCCGTCACCCACTTACTGGAATACTGGAATACTGATATTTTTCTTTCATGGTGTGGTAGAAACTGCTAAATGGCATCTGGTATCCTCCCCCCCCCCTCCTTTCTATTAGTAACATAACTTCCTGTTATTTAGTTAGGGCACTTAGTTACCTACCTATGTATGAACTTTATTTTATAACTTCCCTTGAAGTTACATACAGACGTGTGATTAAGTTTGCACCCACTGAATGAGAGTGAGAATACTGGGTTCAAATTCAAGGTAT